CCCCTGCAACCAGGTGCCCGCCACCATGTGTTGCGACCCCGACCCGCGCCGAGTAAGCCCATGGATCAATTTTTGCACCGGGGCCCCATGGGTCATGTGTACGCCACTGCATACTTACACAGATATTCATGCTTATAAACTGGTGGGACTACGAGAGGGAGATGAATGGAAGACTGCCTTTAAAACCCATAATAGCATGATAAAGGTCATGCCTTTTTGTCTTTGCAATACCCTGGCAGTCATTAGGATCTTGTCAGATATTTTCACTGGCCATCAACTATGTTTTACAAGATTTACTGGTCATATGTGCTGTAGTCTACCTTGACAACATATTGGTCCATTCACATGACCTCCATTCACACCATCGACATTTCAGGATGGTACTAACCAGGTTACTTACAAATGGTCTTTCTTGCAAATTAGAGAAATGTCTATTTGACCAGATGTCAGTTCAGTTTCTGAGTTATGTGATTTCTGAACCAGGGTTTAGCATGGATCCTTCCAAACTAGAGGCTATTTGCTCATGTCCTCTTCCACAGGGCTTGAAAGCCATCCAGAGCTTTATAGGACTTGCTAACTATTGTAAATTCATATAGAACTTTTTCAGTATAATTTCCCCTGTTATACATATGACAAAAAAGAGTGTAAACCCACACAAACGGTCACCAGATGTACTGGAGGCGAATGACACATTGAAAACTGCTTTCTCTGTTGTACCTGAATTCATACACCCTGACACTGCCGAGCCCTTTGTTTTAGATGTTGATGCCTCAGAATCTGAAGTTAATACTGTCTTATTACAAAGAAAAAAAAACAGACACCACTGCTGTTTTTACTCAAAGAAATTGTCAAACTCAGAAAATAATTGTGACGTAGGCAATAGAGAGTCCTTAGGTACTGTATTGCAAATCAAGGAATGGAGATATCTATTGGAGGGAACCAAACATCCTGTATTAGTGTCACAGATCATAAAGCTAATTGTTTTGCTATTATGCTTTAACTATGCCATTGCACATAGACAAAGTTATTGTAACACCAAAGCCTATACCTTGTCCCAACAATTTGTGAAATTTGTTGAATTACCCACTTCTAAAGGCAACATAATTATTATCATGGTGGTAAACAGGTTCTCTAAGATGGCCTATTTCACACCTCTCTACATCTATCTACAGCTGAACATCTCAAGATATTTGCTAAAGAAGTTTTTAAGGTTCCCAGGGTTCTCATTTCTAGAGGGGATTTTGCTTTCCTTCTCTTCTGATTACCATCCTCAGACCAACAGAGCTATTGGGAGAGCTAACCAATCCCTGTTTGTCCTCTGTGCATCAGGATAAGTTTGAGGTTCAATCTCTTGTTGGCTTTAGCATTTTCTTCTGGTGTTTTGCACTCTATGGTTCCTTGGAAGGGATATGGTCCATAGGAGCCTTCTTCGGTTCCTTTCTCTGATTTACATGCGCCTCATCTGGTCCGTGCATTTCTTGCCCAATTACTCCAAAAGCCATCTGCTCTCCTCCCTACAGGCGATCTGCTAAGGAAGGAATACTGTCAAAGTTGCTAGGGTCTTACCTAGCTCCTTTGATGTTCCCCCAGACTCTGCTTGCTCTCAAACCAAGTCCTTTTATCATGCCAGAATTTGCATCCAAATTCGGGTCCAAATGATGCAATCTCTGATGACGTCATGGACGTCATGCTGGTAAGATGTTGTACTGCCCACGAGTAATTTGGAACTCTAAAATGATGTTTTTTCAATAGGAAACAAGCCCTGACTATTTATACTCAGCTGTCTCAGTCATTTTTGCCCTATTGTGGTTTCAGTTAGCCCAACAGCGCATTCTTGTACATTTAGTTTCTCTGACTCTTGGCTTGTTTATCGATTATCCTGACCTCTGTTTTTTCTTGGACCTTGTATGTACACAGTGGGGAATCACGATGCGGCATAATACATAAACTAAAACCCATTCAACCCCCCAAATAATGACAGACAACATAGTATGGATGAAACAGGCCACAGCATTTATTATAACATATGATAAAATACTACATATGCAGCAAATAGAATGTTCTGTGCACATTAATAATTTTTCTTCTTTTCTGTAACCAAAACGTTAAACATAAATAACCATGCATTAACATAAATATATATACATAACATAGTGTTCTACAGTGAACCAACCCAACCGTCCTTGCCAAAAAAACAGGCCATGCTCCTATGTACACTTCCTCTCACCTCCCCCCTCGTCATCAAAATCATATCTTTCCAATGCCCGCCATCAGCCGACCTTATCCACGCTAGATGGGCACGACACCCCAGGCAACCTAATGTTTAACCTTTTGAAGCAGGTGAGGTTGAGACCTTAAAAACTTGTTCATCTCATTACATATACTTAAATGTAACCCCTCAAACTCAGTTGGCAAGGACATACCCCCGGCTAGCTGTGACTAAATATACTAATAGGGCGGGCGGGAGGGAAGCGGTTTGCTGGCCCGAATCCCAAGTGGCACTGAGGTAAGACCACCCCTCCACTAACTCATATAGAACATAATCCCACCCACACACTCTTTCCCAACCAATCTCATGCATCTATCCCCACACTCCTACATGTGCCCTTGTCCGCTTAGCTGCGCTATCTCCCCAGGGCCTTAACTTGTATTCCATTAATTCTGTTTTCTCCTATTCATGACGACAGCTATTGCTGTGACTCTGTCTCTGTTAGCCTGACCACTCAAAGGGCCGGTACATGGCCAGTCTCTTCATTGTTGTTGTCTGGGTCTGTGTTATTTTGTGATAATTTGTTATCATTCCCTGACAGTAGTCACAGGAAATAGGAGACATCAGAGTATCGAAGCCTTTACACAAACCAATGGGTTAAATGTTGGAAGACGCATTTTGAATAAAAGAAGAAGACATGATATAATGTTTGGGACTGAAAGGCATTAAAAAGCAAATGTTACTTTACATCAATGGTAGTAGATACTTGGAATAGCGTTTCTGTGGAAGCCGTAAACGCTAACCATGATATAAAAAGATTAGTAGATACTTGGAAAGGTCTTTCAGTGAAAGCAGTAATGGGTAAAAGTGATATATAGAAAGGTTAGTAGATAACTGGAATAGCCTTACAGTGCAGCAAATAGAATGTTCTGTGCAGCAAATAGAATGTTCTATGCAGCTAATAGAATGTTCTGCGCAGGTAATAGAATGTTCTGTGCCGCTAATATAATGTTCTGCGCAGCTAATAGAATGTTCTGCACAGGTAATAGAATGTTCTGCGCAGCTTATAGAATGTTCTATGCAGGTAATAGAATGTTCTGTGCAGCTAATAGAATGTTCTATGCAGCTTATAGAATGTTCTGTGCAGCTAATAGAATGTTCTATGCAACTTATAGAATGTTCTGTGCTGCTAATAGAATGTTCTATGCAGCAAATAGAATGTCCTGTGCAGCTAATAGAATGTTCTGTGCAGCTAATAGAATGTTCTATGCAGCAAATATAATGTTCTGCGCAGCTAATAGAATGTTCTATGCAGCAAATATAATGTTCTGCGCAGCTAACAGCATGTTCTATGCAGCAAATAGAATGTTCTGTGCAGCTAATATAATGTTCTATGCAGCTAATAGAATGTTCTGTGCAGCAAACAGAAGGTTATGTGCAGCTAATAGAATGTTCTATGCAGCAAATAGAATGTTATATGCAGCTAATAGAATGTTCTATGCAGCAAATAGAATGTTATGTGCAGCTAATAGAATGTTATGTGCAGCTAATAGAATGTTCTATGCATGCTAATGACGCTATCTAACCCATCATATCACAGGGCAGTGCTGTCTATTCTGGGTGGGTCTACAGACCAGCTAAGTATCATGGGAAATCTAGTTTATAAAATATTGGTCTGAAGGTTAACTTGAGACTGGTGCAGCTGGGGATTATGGGATTTGTAGTCATATGGCAGGTGTAAATCTAGACCATTGACAATCACTGCAGTCAGATTTTTGATGGACTTATCGATGCTCTTGGACCATGTTCTGACATTCTGCTGGAGAGTTACCGTGTTTGGTGGGGATCATGGTGAAGATAAATAGCATTTCCTAATGGGATTTGTAGCAAGAAGTCTTCTTCTCTCATGGGATGGGATCGGAGAGTTACATGATCATGATTGGGTCCACGATCACACCCCATCATAGACTGAGAATATTGAGATGAATCCAGACACCAGCTTCATTAATGGCACTTACGAATATGTCCACTGAAAAGGAGAAACATGTTTTATATCAACAGAAATAAGATTAATCCAGGAAGGATCGAGCAAGTTGGAATCTGTAATCAACAATTGCAGTCCATCACCTAGAAGGTTATTTGTATATTTTATAGTTTCTGTTATTATAATAATTAGGCATGTGCATGGGGAAATTTTTCGGTTCGGTTCGGCATTCCGAAATTCGGGACTTTCGCAATTCGGCACTTCAACACTTCGGAACTTCGGCAACTTCGGCACTTCAGCACTTCGGAACTTTGGCACTTCGACACTTCGGAAATTCGGCAACTTCGGCACTTCAACACTTCGAAGCTTCGGCATTTCGGAATTTTGGGACTTCTCTTGCAGCCGCTTAGTAGATAACTCCCTAATTCCCACGGTATAGCGAGTAGGGGCAAAATTTACTAATACTAAGTAATTTTTACTTAGTATTAGTAAATTTGGCTGAAAGACGAATTTAGGTCTTTCAGCCTTTTGGTAGATAGCTCCCTAATACCGTAGGAATTAGGGAGTTATCTACTTATTCATTCCTGTCATTACACTGACTGGCTAAGTAACTTACATTTTATATGAATGTATGTTACTTGATTGTTGTAAGTGTTGCAAATGCTTACAGCTGAATCCTGGCTATGTTTGTATACTTTTTATTTAAAATTGTAACAGTGTAACAGTGTAACGTTCTTCATTCATTCACTGGGTAAGTATATTAGTTCTTAGGCAATACTGTGCTTCAGCACTTCGACTTCGGAACTTCGGCAACTTCGGAACTTCAGCACTTCGGAACTTCGGCAATTCGACACTTCGGAAATTAGGGAATTTCAGAATTTCTGGACTTCAACCATTCGGCAATTCGGCAATTCATCTATCCGGACACTCGGAAGTACCCGAATGTCCGAATTGCCTGAAATAATAATATTAATTTCATCAGTTTGTATCTCCATTGCTGTAACAGAAAGTTGTTACTCATTTTTAGAACCAGCGTTTGTATCTCCATTGCTGTAACAGAAAGTTGTTACTCATTTTTAGAACCAGCGTTCTCTTACACCATAATTATATTTAAATACGTTTAAATTAAATGTTCAGGAAGGCTGGCTAAGCTTCATGGGAAATGCCTTCACATATCTGTTGTGCCAAAATTAGCCATCACTATACAAGCCAGTATTACGGCATAAATTAACTAATCAAACAACAGGTCTGGAGATTCAAATGTTTAATTTAATTAGCTGAAATTTAAATAATTCTAAATCGAAGAGACTTGTTTCTAGGCTGGAGAAAAAGGAATATCTTACCTGTCGAAGCTCAGGATGCAGGTTCTCTATAGCTCAATGTTTTTGTATATTTTCCTGAGATAACTGAAAATTAACAATATGTTAGAACGTGTAAAGCACAAAAACGTGAAGGTCAGTTTGATGTACAGACCAACTGGCCTTCTCTGCAGATCCTCGGGTGCACACAGCCTACATCGATTTGTTTGCTTGTTTTTGTTTTGCAGAATTTTGAAGCATTTTGGGTCTAACGTAGAAGATGAAACGAACTGACTGAGTCACTAGCCACACTTCTGATAGAATGGCAGCATCGAATTAGAGACAAACACTCATGCAGTTGCACACACACCACCAGTATCACCACACACACACACATACACGCCATGAGTATCACCAAACACACCCTCCTCCCAGCTCTTGTGGCCTAGAACTTTCCCTGACAATTCTCCCTGATTATTTCTGGTTTTAGTGGCTACATCTGAAGTTACCATGGAACTGCAAACTAGCTCAGTTGGAACAGAACTGTGTTGGAGAATTCTTACCGTTGATCAATTTTGGCCAACATGTACAATCTCCTGGTTAATTATCATGTATGTACGTAGTGGGGAATCGCGATGCAGCCTAGAACATAAACTAACCCCATTCAACCCCCCAATAATGACAGACCACTTAGAATGGATGAAACAGGCCACAGCATTTATTATCACAAACTAAATTACTGCATAACACATCCATAACTTTATTTATTAAATCTCTTCTTTTTCTGTAACCAAAAACGTTAGACATAAATAAGCATAAATTAACATATATACATATATGACTCCACACACAGTCAGTGACGTCTCTAGGATAAATTTTTAGGGGGGGCACATGGTGGGCCAGGGACAAAAGTAGGGGGGCACATTTAACCCCCCCTCCAGGCAGTTTGACCCCGCTCCTGCTGCATGTTAAGCCCCACCCCCAACACAATGTGTTGTTTTTTTAATAATCCCTGGTTGTGGATTCATTATTTTCCACAAGGGATTATTAAAAAAACAAACACATTTCCCTTGATACAGTGCCATAGTTGCCAACATTAGAAAAAAAATTCCAAGGACATTTTGCAGCACAGCTATCAATTACTGTCTGTGTATAACATCTCTGTATAATACATGGCTGTGTGTATAATATCCCGGGAGAGTCAGTGCTCCCTGTATAGTGCTGCTCTCTGTATAATACAGGTCTGTTTGTGTATATTATCCTAAGACAGAGAGCAGCACTATACAGGGAACACTGACTGTTCCAGGATGTTATACAGACACAGCCATGTATTATACAAAGAGCAGCACTATACAGGAAGCACTGACTATCCCGGGATATTATACTCACACAGATCTGTATTATACAGATAACTGAGCATATACCCCATGTCCCAATCTCTAGACTACTAGTACCTGTCAACAGCAGCTCCCAGACGCGTGTAACAGGGCTAAAGTGTGCGGCAACTCACACAGATGATTCAGCGGTAAAGTGCACTCGCTGGCAGAGCCAAACTGGGAATCCAAAGCAGCCCTGGAAAAAAATGTATGTCATTCCTACAAGTCAAAATATATATATATTACAGTAAGCACACAAGCCCACTGACATGCGCAAATAGGCTCACTGACAGACAAAAAACTCTGACTCACACACAAGCTTACTACAGACAAACTCACTTGTATAAATACAAGGCTCACTACAAAGAAGTTCAGGGACACACACAAGCTCACTAAATACAAGCTCACTGACACACACATGCTCACTAAATAGAAGCTCACTGACACACACAAGCAGTACCATTTTAACAGAGTTAAGGGCCCCTGGGCAAAGCAATACACTGGGGCCCTTCCTACACAACAACTCACAGGAATTTTAATTATTGATAGACTGCTGAGTACATACACACAGTACACTAAATACAAACACAGAGAGACTGCTGAATACACACACAGATTTCTGAATGCACACAGGCTGATTTATACACTTACACACAGACTGCTGAGTCCATACACACAGACGGCTGAGTCCATACACACACACATAGACTGCTGAGTCCATACACACACACAGACTGCTGAGTCCAAATACACACACACAGACACACACACAGACTGCTGAGTCCATATACACACACAGACACACACACACAGACTGCTGAGTCCATACACACACACATAGACACACA